CACATACACACACACACACACACACACACACACACACACTCTCTCTCTCTCTCACTCTCTCTCTCTCTCTCTCTCTCTCTCTCACTCTGGTTTAGGTACCCTTCCTTAGTAAGGCCATTCCACCTGGTACACATTTTTATTGCAGCTGTTACTAACTGTTCTAGAACTGCCTGTTTATCTGTCCCTTGACCCAAGTTTGTGAGTTCTTAGGGACAGAGACTGTTTCATCTCTGTAGCTCAGCCCCCACCTCAATGCACACTGTAGAAGGATTAAAGACCAAGGAGAGCACAAGAGAAGAAAACTGTTTCTCCTTGGCAGGGTTGCAGAAGAGTGAAACGAACTTAGTCATTCATGTCAATGGTTTCCCTTTACAACTAGTGACCATTATAAGGTTCCTCTAGGGAAAAACTTAAAAATCGGAGGACACGGTGCTGTAAACCTTCAGCCTGTGCTACTCCTCAGCATAGACTCCCATCGCGGGTCATTAACAGAGGGTTACTATACAGAGCTACATCCGGGAAACTGCTATCCCCAGGCTACCTTACAGGTCCTAGTTAAAAAGTCTCCTCAAATACCCACTTAAGCAGAAACCCACTTTCCAGAAAGCTACTGCTTATCTGTAAATACATAAAAAGATGATCCCCCTGGGACATTTCACATCAAGACTTCCTGATGAGAAGTTACTTAAAAAGGTAGAGAAGTGAAACCAAAATCAACTACAAAAAGCTATACACCAGATGTGTTCAGAATCTGTGTGGGCGATTCACATGTGTGGCATTCCTTACAATGTTAAGAGGGCAAGAACCATGAACTATGTTCTACAGCACATAGCTCCACTGTGGAGTTGTAGAAAGTATCCCGCTAAGTCAAGAATGCTTCTATTTAGTATTCGTCAAGCAGGCATTTGAAAGTCATGCTAAAAGGCCCCAGGCAGATAAGTCATTTTTTTCCCTGTATAGAAGAGAAACTTGGGTTCCTGATAAATGTCAGCTGAATGGGGATGGAGAACTGAAATTCTGTCATAATCAACCTGCTACACTCAGCCTATTATTACCAGGTTCTAGCCACATTCAAAAGGAGCCTGGTGGCACAATGGTTAAATGCTTGGCTGCTAGCTGAAAGGTAGGCTGTTCAAACCCACCAGCGGCTCCATGGAAGAAAGTCCCGGCAATCTTCTTCCATAGATTCCCAAAAAGCCCACTGTTGGTGAGTGGATTCCGACTCATAGTGACCCCATACGACAGAGTAGAACTGCCTCGTAGGGCTTCCAGGGCTGTAAATCCTTACGGAAGCAGACTGCTACATCTTTCTCCTGCAGAATGGCTGGTGGGTTCAAACCGCCGACCTTTGGGTTAGCAGCCAAGTGCTTTAACCACTGTGCCGCCAGGGCTCTCTCCATAAAGATTACAGCCTAGGAAACCCTATGAGGCAGTCCTACTCTGTCCTAGAGGGCTACTATGAGTGGGAATCAACTCAATGGCACCCAACAGCAGCCACATTCAAAAGGAGCCCTGATGGCACAAATGGTTAAGTGAAAGGTTGGCAGTTCCAACCCACCCAGCAGCTGCTCAGGGGGAAGACCTGGCCATCTGCTTCCGTAAAGATTACAGCCAAAAAAAACCCTATGGGGCAACAGTCCTCCTGTCACATGGGGTCACTATGAGTCAAAATACTCAACAGCACCTAACAACAACAAACTACATTCACAGACACTATATTAGCTAATCCTCACATCCACCCTGTAGAGTTTTATCCTCCTCATTTTACCGTGGCAGACAGGAAGGCTCACAGAAGTTAAGCCATGGGCTTGTTTGCCCTGTCATCCACCCCTAAGTTTTACTTTGGGGAAAGACAACTTCTTCCTCTCCACAACAATGCTACTGGAATCCCTTCTGCCCTGTTACTTACCCAGAGCCCCTGTAGGCAGACCCCTGGGCACACTCAAACACCCTTCCCAAAGTCAGTCCTGGTCAAAGACCCTTCAGGAATTAAAGATTTCTGCATGCTCAGGAACACAGAATAGTCCGAATCCCTAGGCCACTTCATAAAACCCTTTGCCAGAGTAGATTCTGACTCATAGCGACCCTATGGGACAGAGTAGAACTGCTCCACACAGTTTCCAAGCAGTGGCTAGTAGATTCGAACTGCCAACCTTATGGCTGGCAGACAAGCTCTTAACCACTGTGCCACCAGGGCTCCAATTCAAAGGAAGCGGGAAAAATGACCACAACTTCCCCTGCACTTGGTTCCTCCCCAAATAGCTGTTGAACCTCATCTGGAAACAGCTGGGAGGCGGCAGCAGTTAACAGGAAACCAAACCAAAAAAAGTACAGAGTGTACCAGGGAGAGCTCAGCAGCTAGAACGCAGAGGCCAGGGGACAGACAGGAAGCTGCAGTTAGAAAGAACCTAGGCCAGAAACTTAGAGGAGGAGACCCAGCTGGCTTTCCTCTTAAAGGCCCAAGGAGAAGAAAAACCTGGGAAGCCAGCGATGAAGGCTCGAATCTCATGGGCATGGAGGTCAGACCATCTCTGCAGTCTTCAGCTGAGGTCAGACACTTCTGTTCGCTCTCATCTTTCTGTGCCAGAGGCCACAGCCGAGACAACTGGTTTCGAGTCATTCCTGTCAATCTGTACTACACTGCCAACTACACTCAGGGGTCTGCCAGACTGGCCTCACACAGAGACAACGGCATCTTCATCAGAAATTACTAGGCAATACCCATCCAGAGACCAGCAGCACCGGTAATAACAGTAAAAGCAGAAGAGCCAGCAGGGCTGATGCCTGGAGGGGCAAGGTAAGCCTCTTGCACCAAACTAATGGAGCATTTTGCAATCTAGAAAGTTTTGTGAGCAATGAATGGCCAGCCGCCAAAATATTCTTGAAAGAAATGGAAAAAAAAAATGCCTTTAGTAAAATTCTTTGGTGTTATTTAGCAATAAGCCTTTAGGTTATCCAAACTGAGGGCAAAAGGGAGACTGTTTATTTTTCCTTCAGCGGAGCTTAAGTGAGACCTTTCTCGCCCAGGCCTCCTGTGATTCAATCATCCATTCTCTCTGTACATCTAGAAGTTTATACTAAAATAAAGAAGAGGAGTTTGTTCTCTTAATAAAACGCATTCCTGTCTGTCACCTCTCAAAGTGTAGCATATGCTGTAATCTGGCTGGGTTTGATTCCAAACTGACTCAAAATTTGAGGGTGAGTAATAAGCAGGGTGACAGGAACCCTAGTGGCACGGTGGTTAAGTGCTCAGCTGCTAACTGAAAGGTTGGCAGTTTGAACCCATCAGCTGCTCTGCGGGAGAAGAATGTGGCAATCTGCTTCCCTGAAGATCACAGCCTTGGAAACCCCATGGGACAGTTCTACTCTTTCCTATAAGGTCACTATGAGTCAGAATCAACTTGATGGCAACACGTTTTTTTGTTTGTTTTTTTAAGCAGCTGTAACAAGGGGGTGCAGGACTATGTCCTTAATATGACTTGTCCTTATTAAAAAACAGAACATCCTCCCAGCTCAGTGCCAGCTCAAACTGGCAAGACCAGAGAACCAGAGCAGAGCCTGACCAAGTGCCACGGAAGGGGGGTGGAAGGAAGAGCTCTGGGTAATGTGTTGCAGCCATGTGGCAAACCAATCATCAGGGAAATCTTCGAGAAAGGAAATGGGGGGGAGGGGTGCATTTTAGGAACATAACAAAGGAACAAGTTGACGAATCATTTATTCCAAAGGGGGAAAATGCCCTCCAGAGCCAAGTACCTAGTGTTTTAATATCAAGCAATGTGGAATGTTTTAACTTGGATATATTCAGGGCTCAAAGCGCTCCCCAAGAAATAAGTAATAAAGAAAGGGGGAAATAGCCTCACTCTTCCTTACGCGGCCTTTGGAGTTTCCCAGGAAATTGCCTGTGAGGCTACCTGCAGAGCCACACGTCACTCACGCAATAGCTCTGCTCAGCAGAGATCCTTACCGCCAGCCTGGGCAAGGCTGCTGAAGCCAGCCCAAAAAGCACTGATGCTGAGCAGAAACGTTATGACCTGGAGAAAATGCCTAATCGACACACTGGAGAACGGAGAGCGGAATGCCATTTTAGCACTTGAGGGTCAGGAATTTCTGTGACTTGAAGAAAAGAGATCTCTGGCTGGAGCTGGTCCATCCACATGTGAGGATGGTGTCCCAGACGCTTGCTGAACCCCTGACATCGTCCTCATAAAGTGTTCCAGGGCTGCTGGGGCACCTTCTGACTTGCCACTAGGACAGACTCCACCTCCAGCAGCTGTGGCTCCAGAAGGCTTCAGAGGAGACACCCAGCATCCCCTCTCAAGATGGGGAGGAGCCCTCCAGGAAGCGAGACAAGTGGGGGGGCACCTGCCTCTGCTGGGACAGTCAGAAAACCAGCAAATGTTTATCAGACATGGAAGGATGTGCTAAATCTCCAGAAGAAGCATTCCACCTATCTCATTCCATCCCCACGACAGCCGCATGTGGCAGACACGACTGTCATCCTCTCTGTATAGAGGAGAAAACTTGGGCTTCAAGACGTTACACAACCATGAAACAAGCGCAGCCAGAACTTAAGCCAACGGTGACAGGTGCTCGTGCCCCCTCCCCGACACTGCTGGGGACACACAAGGGGTTTGGGGAAGGGGTCGACGGGGTCAGGGAACACAAGTTGAGGCCTGTCTCTACCCCTCTTTCTAGTCCCAAATCCATGGCCCCGGGAGGAGGGTAAAGGCCCACATGGAGGGGGGCCCCCGAATGGGAAACGCAGAGCCGGAAAGACCCAAGTCGGGCTGACAGGGGGAGAGCCGGGTCTGGCCCCTCTCTCTCTCTCTCTCTCTCTCTCTCTTCCCCTGAGGACCCCAGACCCTAAAACCCTCCTGAAGGAGGTGGACCCAAAGAGAACGCGCGAAGCCCAGGACTTCCCAGCGGCCCGGCCCTCCTCGCTTTTTTGTCCAAGGAGGCCCTGCTCGCGCGGTGGGGCCGGCCCGGGTTGCAAGCTCTACCTGTAGGCCAGGGTCATGCACTCGAAGAGCTTGGTGAGCGAGGCGTCGATGGACAGGTGGCAAGAGCTGGTCTTGCCGAAACTGTAGGTCTGGCACGTCTGCTTGTTGACCGTGTCGAAGTCGTAGCCCTTCTTGGGCGGGTGCTCGCGGTGCGGCGACGACACCATGAAGTGGCCGCTGTGGATGATCTGCTGGCGGCGCGGAGGCTCCTCGCGGCCCAGCCCGGCCCGGGGCGGCGGCG